CAAAGTGTCTCATAGACTCATCGAGGTCATAGTCACTATCATCATCCTCATCATAGTATCCATGTTCAACATCATCTTGTGATTGATCATTTCCTAGATAGAGTGATTCATTAGTTTTGTGATCACGACAATGTGCATCTCTATGAATTCTAATGACTTCGGAGATGATGTTGCTAATGATTCCAACATCTCCTTTGGCACGCATAAGGTCACTAAGCTCAAATAGACAATCACCAAACTTAGGATCATTGGGACTCATTTTATTCAAAGCAATAGACTTGTGAAGAATCTCATCTAAGTTTTTCAGGGAATAGTTTGGAAATCGTTCCTCGAGAAATCTCCATATAGTGTAAGCACATTAAAGAGTTGGCGAGCAAGTAATCAAATTTCTAGGTAATCCTCTAGTGATAAGGTTGACAGTTCTAAGATTGCGAACCATATCAAGAGACTAATCAGGGGTAGGGTGCAAGGGGTCAACAAGGGGCGTGCAAGGGGTAGTAATGTACTTGCTCAAGTGATATTCATTGAAAATCTCAAGCATCTCATTTTTTCCAAGCAATAAAGAACTCTCCAGCACTCTACGTCTAATAATCCCAACCGTAGACTCATCCATCTTCCTCCAATGGTGTTTAAACCAAAGTAATGGAGACCGAAGCTCTGATACCAATTGAAAGATCGAGAAGAGGTGTCTAGAGGGGGGTGATTAGACCCTGAACAAGTAAAGGTGGCAGTTTTTAAGTTTTTCAAGTTGAGGTTAGAAATTAGCACAATTTCAAACATTCACAATACTTATCAAGCAAGCATGGCAAGAGTATATGAGCAACGGAAAGTAAAGCATTCAACTTGAGATAAAGTAAAGGGATCGGATTGGAGTGTGCAAACGCAATTGGAGACACGGAGATTTTTGGCGTGGTTCCGATAGATGGTGCTATCGTACATCCACATTGGTTGAGACTTCAACCCACAAAGGGTAACGGTTGCGCAAGTCCATGGAGGGCTCCATCCACGAAGGGTCCACGAAGAAGCAACCTTGTCTATCCCATCATGGCCATCGCCCACGAAGGACTTGCCTCACTTGGGTCGATTTTCACGAAGTAGGCGATCTCCTTGCCCTTACAAACTCCTTGGTTCAACTCCACAATTTTGACGGAGGCTCCCAAGTAACACCTAACCAATCTAGGAGACACCACTCTCCAAAAGGTAATAGATGGTGTGTTGATGATGAACTCCTTTGTACTTCAAATGATAATCTCCCCAACAGTCAACTCTCTCTCACAGATTTGGATATGGTGGAAACATGATTTGAGTGGAAAGCAACTTGGGGAAGGCTAGAGATCAAGATTCATATGGTTGGATTGGAATGTCCTGGTCTCAACACATGAGCAGGTGGTTCTTTCTCGGAAAATGAGTACTGAAAGTGTAGGCACGTTCTGATGGCTCTCTCTCAAATGGAGAAGGGGGTGGAGGGGTATATATAGCCTCCATACAAAATCTAACCGTTACACACAAATTCCCAAACTCGGTGGGACCGAATAGTGAAACTCGGTCAGACCGACCTGGTTCAAAATGTGAATGTTGGGCTTTTCGGTGGGACCGACAAGGTCAACTCGGTGAAACTGATGTGCTATGGTTAGGGCAAAACTTCATCTCTGTGAGACCGATTGCGTGAATTCAGTGAGACCGATTTCAGCAATAAGCAAAGAGAGAATTGGTCAAGCAAACTCGGTGGGACTGACTGCGTATCTCGGTGAGACCAAAATAACTGCAATAGGTAACAGAGAGTTTGCATCGCCATCTCGGTGAGACCGAGATCCCATCGGTGAGACCGAACTCACTAGGGTTTTTGGCAGTGGCTATGCCAAGTGAACTCGGTGGCGCCGGATAGATCAAATCGGTGGGGCTGAGTTTGAATTTAGGTTTAGAACATATGTGGAAATGAGAAAGTGGTTGAGGGATTTGGAGGATATCACTAAGCACTTTGAGCAAGCAAGCCATTAAGCAACACCTCATCCCCTTTTAATAGTATTGTCTTTCCTATGGACTCAGTGTGATCTTGGATCACTAAAATGAAAATGTAGAGTCGTGAGCTTTTGCCGATGTTTGTTCTTAGCATCTTGAAGGGGTTCCACATCCTCTTGTCCTGCCACTCCACTGTTGAACTCATCTGAAACATACTAGATATAAATATTAGTCCAACAAGAGATATGTTGACATTAATTACCAAAACCACCCAGGGAGCACTTCTACTTTCACATGCCTTCCCATACATGACCGGGTATCCGAATAGTTCCTCAATTGAAGTCATGAGAAAATTGACCTTCACGGTTGGATCTTGTGCTATTTGATTCAACATTTTGTAGCCTAGATACTTAGAGGTGAGTTGGCGGTGTCCACTGCTTCGGTCGGCCTTGTCCGAGGGTACGCATGTGTGAGTGGCAAAACAACTCTTCAACACCCATTGCCCGGTTTCTTTGGTTTTTCTACCATGGACCCTCCAAGGGCAACCTTCTTGGTCACATTTGACTGTGTACCGAACATTTTGATTGGAATGACCAACAACAAACGGCCTATGGTTCCTAATGGTGTAGTCACACAACCATATCTTGAACTCTACCAAAGAACTAAACTTGATGCCTTTCTTCAAATGAGCATTCTCATCCTCATTTTGTGGCCGAGGATCACCGACCTTGGGGCACGGTGTTGGCTCAAACTACCCCAATCTCATCCCACCATAAACAACGTCCTTGTCTGCAAGACTCACATCCCTAAACAATGACGGCCATCTTTCCTTGCCGGTCACCTTCTTGTAGATTTCATTTTCTTGCGCCATCAACCCATCCTCATCCAATTCTTCCTCCGGACCCTCGTCATCCAAGCAATACCCACACATACGGTTATAAGGGGGGGTACAGTCCATGTCTTGTTGCCGCAGAATGACATCCAAGTTATCAATGGCATTGTAATGAATCTCTTCATTCTCCGCGCAAGCATCCTCTTGAGCAACAATAGCATCATCATCAACATGACCACTAGCATCTTCTTGAGCAATAGGAATAGCATCATCTCGGAGTACTATGGCGCTATCATTGGTATGATCTTCATTGGATTGGCTACTTGGTGGTTGGCTACAACAATTGGGGACATACACCTCGACACTACCATCATGTATTGAGGATACATTGCGGTTTAAATCAATTTGCAAGGGAGGAGGATCAACCTTTATGGCAAATATCTCAAGAGACTTGTCTTGTGATGCGTCTACTTTGTCCTTGTACACATTCCAGTGCAATTGGGAGGTGATGGGCATACTCTTTAACCGGAACTTTACTCCCAATCCAACGTCATACCTCCCAATAAGATTAACCTCGGCATTTCAGTTATTCCAATGTAAGACGCTTCTCACTTTCACTACAAGATCATCAAAGCTTGGACTTGTGTCAAATTCAATAGCCTCTTCCCCTCATCGTATTTTCCATTCATAAATGTCGTCTTGTACAAATAATGAACATTTACGAGCTTATGCATCTAAGAATAATGGAAACAATAAAGTCATCCATATATGTCATCCAACCAATTCAAATGGAGCAATAACATAATTTATGCACACATTGGACAAATAACTTCTATTCATAGTTAATTTAACCTTAACCTTAACCACAACCCTAACCCTAACACTAACTCCTAACATTACCACTATAACCCCTAACCCTAGGCAAGCACAAACATAGCCATAAATGCATCATAAATGTGCCCTAAATGCATCATAAATGCACACAACAAGATCAACACCTAGGGTTTGCAATAAATGGAGCAAATGCTCACAAAACCAAGATTTCAACCAATCAAAATGAAGGGAATTGAGAGGTACCTTGGGTGATGAAAATGCTCCAGATCCACCGGTGAAATCTCAAACAAATGGAGTGGATCTAGGGGGTGTTTGGGTGGGGGAGAGAGAGAGGAGAGGAGCTCACCAACGGGAGGAAGAAGAATGGGGAAGAAGAGTGGTGGTGGGGCCCACACACCAGCCCCTCCCAATCTTATCCACCCCAGGACCCTACCGCCAGGGCCCGTAGCAGTAGGTGTTAGTAGCCTACCGCCAGGGTCTGTGGCGGTAGGGTCCTTTTCCACGTCAACTGTAGCTGATGGCCGTTAGGCGCAATCCCGTCACCTACCGCCAGGGACCCCGGCGGTAGGGTGTGGGGGGCTACCACCTGGACCCCTAGCGGTAGGCAAAAGGTTCATATCCCAATTGTTTTTGCAAAAGGGGCCAGATCCCGAAATAACACCACAAAAGGGTCAAAACACGAAATTCTGCCGGCTTGGGCTCTGCATGGTTCTAATTGATGAGCTTCAGCCAGCGATGATGACGGGGCTGGCTTTTCTAGGTGGCATGAGCTGACGATGACAACAGGGACATAGTTGCACGAGTGGCTCAGGGTCGAGTCCGTCGCGTGATGTTTTGTACTCCCTCAGTTTCCTTGTACTCCACGTATAAGATTTGTCTTGAGTCAAACTTCATAAAGTTTGATCTAAATTATATTAAAAAAATATCAACGTCTACAATAGTAAAGGTATACAATATAAAAAATTAATTTCATGATGCATCTAATGACATTTTTCTGATATTGTGAATGTTGATTTTGTTTTCTATAATCTTGAGCAAATATTAAAAAGTTTGATTTCTTAAATGAAGAGTAGACAAAAAAACCAGAGCGAGTACTACCAATACCTGGCGCACGTTTCTTCAGTTTTTTGAGACATTCGTTTCTCATTTTGTGTTTTTAGGGATATTCCTTCAAAAAAAAAACTTCATTTTTTGTGATTTTTTTAGCATCTCATTTTTTATGAGTGAGTAAACGAATTAGAAGGCTTCAAGGCCCACTACGCTCACGCGCTGACGCTGCTGGGCTCGTGGAGGGTCATTCCTCGGCCTCCATTTTTTGTTGCGACAACCACGCCGCCGCCGCCAAGCCGCTCGTTCCAATCTCCTCGCCGCCGCCATGCTCCGGCACCGGTGCTGCGTCCTCACTCAGCTCCTCTCGTTTCCCTCCGCCTCTCCCACCTCCCAGATCCACCGCCTCATCTCCGCCGCAGCGCCCGCCGTCTCCCCGAACCCTAGCTTCGCCGTGCAGGACTACCCCGCCGTCGTCGCGGGAGACCCCAAGGTACTCTGCTCCAGAGTGGAGGGATACCTTGGCCCCGTCGTCGCCCAGCTCACCGGCCTCGGCCTCTCGCGTTCTCAGGTCGCGCGCCTCATCTCCTACGGCCGCGGCAACTTACATCTCACATCCATCGTCTCCAAGCTGCAGTACTACCTGCCCCTCTTCGGTTCCATAGACAACACCCTTCGAGTTCTCAAGCGCGGCCTTTACCTTATCTCGTCTGATCTTGAGAGGGTGGTCAAGCCCAATGTCGCAACCGGCTGGGTGATTGCGACATTGCCAAGCTGTGCATCCCTAATCCATGGCTGCTCACAACCAATGCAGAATCCATCCGGGCAATGGTGTCATGCGCTGAAAGTCTTGGTGTGCCCCGTGGATCTCGGATGTTCAGGCATGCCGTGTCTGCTGTTGCGTACCTCAGCGAGGAGAAGATTGCTGCTAAAGTGGGGTACTTGAAGAAGACCTTCAGGTGGTCAGATGCCGAGGTCAGCATTGCTGTGTCCAAGCATCCAATCTTGCTGACAAGGTCTAAGGACTTTCTGCGGAGCAGATCAGAGTTCCTCATCTCCGAGGTGGAGCTGGAACCGGCATACATTGCTCATCGTCCGGTATTGCTCTCGTACAGACTGGAGGGCCGGCTCAGGCCCCGTACCATGTTGTAAAGTTTCTCAAGGAAAATGAATTGCTAGATTGCGACCGGGACTACTATTCTGCAGTAATGCGGACCGAGAAGGTATTCATGGAGAAGTACATATGCCCTCACATGGAAGATGCACCGCACCTCGCTGAAGACTATGCGGAAGCTTGCAGAGGCGAAGTGCCGACTAGATTCAGATTTGCATGAACCAAGAATATGTAAAGTTTGAAACTATTTACTGCACCCCAAAGATTTCACTTGGGCAGTAAGCTGTTAGCCTTTTGTTTCAGTATTCGTGCCTAACTAGATGTTGGTTGTCTCTGTAGTATGTCTATGACATGCTGGTTTGGTTGTTGCTACTTGCTAACACTTGATGAAGCTAGTAATTTATTTCATGAGACCTGGTATGACCATCTCATCATTCAGCAGAGAAGAGAACATCGAACTGCTATTTTGGCCATTCTCATGTCTTATTGACACACATATTGGAACTAAGAGAGTGTGAGATCAGGTCATTGTGCAGACGCATTGAAATATCTGTGAGTAGTATATCTGCATTTATATATTTGGAATACTGATATGAAAGGACCATGATGACCACAGTATGTTGATCACTGCCGAGGATGGCATCTTGATATAGTTTGTTGGTTGCTTGCTCTAGTTCTTGTTAGCTGAAAATTAATCATCTTTCTTTCTGCAGCATCTTTGTTTGAAGAGTTCAATTTTTGTGAAAGTAATTGATGGTTTACTAATTCATACCAGTATTTTCCTTTATTATTCTCCTGTATTTCTGAATGGCGTACTGGCGGATACTTTCTACCAGTATTACAATTTCTGCATACAGCATACCAGTACAGTCTTTGTTTTTGAGAATTTGTAGCTATATGTTGATTATTATTGTTTATTAGAGCGCAGGAGAAAGACCTGTCTGACCTTTTTATTTTATTTTGCATGTGATGAAAAGCAGCATTTGGATGCCATTGTACAGATAATGCGCCTCTGCCCCCATTCATTGTTTGAAGGTGCAAATAAATTTGCCCTCTCATTTTTTTTTCGGTTTTAGCTTTTAAGAATAGGAGACAGATAGTCTGTCTATTCTTTTGCAAGAAAGGAAAGTTCGACTACGTCGTAGAAAGTGTTGTTGTTATACTGTCCGTACATGATCCATAAAACACACAAAAGAGCTCATTGCCTCCTTGAGTTAACGGTTTGTATTCAGCAAGTTCGTGTTTTGTTTATGAAGCAGGTGACTTGTGATGACTATTGGATGTCTTTCAATTGCTTTTCAACCACGCCCATCATCTTTTTGTGCTATGATGAAGCAGGTTGAGGATATTGTCCGTGCAATGATATAGGCTTGCTTGCAGGAACCCATGTCAGGTACTTCATAATCTAGATACACTGTACTTTCTCCTTTTTCATGTCCAGTCACAAACATCATGGTCCATTCTCACCAAACAGTAGAACCTGCAGCTACCAAAACAAACTGTGAGCTGCATTAGTTTCAGTCGCGCTACTGAATTCATTGGTGCTCTCACTTCCTTTTGTGAATTTTGCGGTCCGATGAATTGTTGATTAGTTCACATGGCCTAAGCATGTTAGTACAAAACTAAATATCTGTAAAGAACAGGGCCAGTATCTGAAAAAACTTCCTCCAGTGTTATAAAGGAGGCAAACTTTTATGCCGGGGCAGGTAAAGAAACTGAGGTGGCGTGTTGTTTCTTTTATCGTGCTCAAATTCATTGCTATGACCTGTCAGCATTGTTCTTCTTTCAGGCAACGGCTCAAAAGTTCATATTGTTGAATGTTGTTTAAAATTATAGATCACGTTAAAGCAGTCAAAATGTTGCAGAATGCAGTGTATGCTTTTAGAGCATTTATGTTCTATTGGTGTTTGGATTTATATTTTTACTGAATAAATAACAAATATGACTGGTTGCTGCAAATAGTTCTTTTTTTCCTGTTGTGCACCTCCAAAGTGATAGCTTTGAATTGTAGGCTTATCTCACCATGTTTATTATACAGGGAGGTGACCGATAGGTGATAGCATAATCTCATATTCTCAAGAACCGTACTTCATTCAGCTGCAAGACAAAGCAGATTGCTTTAGGTTCTTAGGTGCTATAATATCGAATAAATATCCTATTAGTTTACAGGATCACATATTTTTAGGTTTTTAATGCAGTTCATGATGAAACAGCTAGAGCTTATCAGGATAATTTTTTGATATATACTATTACCTAACTGACATGGTTTTAGTTCAAATTTGAACTAAAACCACCGCATCAGTTATTTCCGAACGGGGGGAGTATCATTTATACTAATTTATATTAATACTGATTTTGGGTGACCGCTCATCATCCTCTGTATATCACTGATGCTACATGCCAGAACAAGTTTTTAGATTTTCTTTCTAGAGATAGTTGTGCTTGGAATCAGCATATTGTTACCAGATATGCACTCCATTTACCCTTTTAAAAGAGGAAGGAGCGGGCATATTTGATAGCGGGAGACTCCTTGACAACATCCCAATTTAAAATATCGATACAGTTATTATGTTCTTGCAATGAAATGCCTACTATTCTGATTGTTACCCGAAGTGTGCGACCGTTTTCAGGTAGTCCCAGGTTTTGGCCTTGCTGCACATTTGCGTCCCTTGTCAGATGCCATTAGATTTATGAGGGTGGGGTGATCCATTATGAGGCATTTTGTGTTCTTCAATTTTTTTAAATAGACAAACATGAATGACCATGTTAATGATCCATTATTAATACCATCCGCTTCAGTGCATTCTAGTATGGCTGAGAATAGGTGGTGTCCCTGGCAGGAAAACTGCACACAAGAGAAACTGTTTTCTGAACCAAACTTTGGCAGAACCCCAGACGAGTACTTATGTCTTTCATGGAAGGAACTCTGAGAATCAGTGGATGTTTGGTGAGGAAGATCTTAAATCTCTCCCTATTTATTTGTTTAATATGTTGAACAATCTCTGAGTATCAGTGGATGCATGGTCCGATAACACACTGAGCAGTGAGTGCATCAGGATTGGCTGATTATTCAAGGTTTTTGTTTGATTGGCTCCACACTGCAGAAGACAAAAATTTGTTTCAAAATCCGGGCAGGTAATTTCGGAGTTCGGAAATTGGAGTATCTACACCACTTTGTTGAGTTTGTTTAATTTATGAGAAAAGCAATACTAATGTGAGATTTTGTTTAGGCAGAATTAGGTCAACAGAACAAGTATTACTATGATGACAAATTGAAGCGATTGGTAGTGGAAACAGCTGCTCATTTATGTCAAGAAACATCACAATCTGCATCATTGAGTGGGACATATATAGTATACAAGCCTAGTTCCTCGAAACAGGCTTTCACCATGCTTTATATATAAAGCAACAACCGCACAAAGTACACGCCCGAACGATACAAGGTGGAGAGGTCGCTCTCTTACAAAGCCGATCATATGATAAACGGAACACGCACAGCGCAAGCGACTACGCTACCGAAAGGAGGAACTGAGTACAACACCATGCCACACCCTAGTACACCTAAACTCCACCACAACACCCTCAGAAGGGAAACTGACGCCACGTGCCACCGCTGCCGAGTCCACAATGGACGAGATTTTCACCTGAAACCCGGACACGGAGGGGAGCACCACGACGACGTCTTCTAGAAGAGAGCGGTGCCCACAAGCGTCGCCGTCGTCAGTGCCAGAACGCAAAGCTTTCACCCGGTAGCTTCCGCATGCCACCACAAGGTCTCCAAGAGGAACATGACGTGATCAAAACCCCAGATCCTGATCGGGGAACCTCCACTGCCAGAGACAGAGAGCACGCCAAAGCCACCCTCTGCTATGCCTCTTGCCGCTCACACGACCAAGAGGCATCACGACCACCGCCCTTGTGGTTTGATATCATCAATGCTAATTTCTTCAAAAAAATTTGCGCAGCGACGGACATTGGATCAAAATCGCACTATTGCCGATGTAGGGCTTGGCTTACTTCTTTGATTCGAAGAGACACCCTCAAAAGAAATGGACCAGATTGAAGAAGGTTCCAAATGATGCTCTCGCCAAGTGTAAGAACATCAGAGAGACTATAAACAGAACATTCATAATTCAAGTTCTTCACTAGCACTTGTTGCTATCAAAAACAAAATGTGGAAATCTCTCATAGGTCTGGATACTGTGCCATGGCTATTATGGATGACTTTTTGAAGAAAAGCAAATATTTGCGTAATCATAGCCAGATCATCAAGTTGTCCGAAGAGATGGAGAGGGACATGGACATAGAGGAACTATTAGCAGAGCATGGCCGCCACTAAAAGGTGTTAGCCAGAATCATCAACAAAGAGGTTGTAAACAAGGATGGGAAGTTCACTTCTAGCTATAGCGAGATGAAGAACGACTTCACCGAGTCGAAGACATATTGCGGTAATCAATTGGGAGCGATACAGTGCTTCAAAACATCTTGATTCGTTGTTCATTTTATGAGTTGAGAATTTTACATGTTTATTTGTTGCCCTACACTTCTTGTACTGTATGTTTATTCGTTGTTCATCTTAATTATCGTAACATCGTTGTAATATGATTGTTTGAATGCAATGAGATAATTGAGTGCAAACTATTGCTTGAGCGCCATTAAAATGATGCCACGGCAGCTAAAAGACGTTGTGGTGACAACAATTTCTCTATATGCCGACATCACTACCAGTGGCGGGCAGCAAAGGTGCCTGCCACTGCTAATACACACAACAGTGGCGGGTAGAGATTATAGTTGTGGCGGGCCATAACTTTTTCCCGCCACTGCGGCACTACCATAGTAGCGGTGGCAGGAGGTCAGTGGCGGACGATCCTGAGAGCCTGGCCCGCCACTACTAGGCTTTTTGCACCCGCCACTGCTGGGCATTCGTGTAGTAATGATATCCTACCTAATATGAATGTGTAATTAATTTCTTCCCAAATATTAACGTGCATTGCACATACACATTTACTAGTTGAAGTTTAGTGACAGATAGTTGAAATTCAGTGACGGATAATAATTTGATATCATTGCGGTGGGAAAACCGACCCGATTTTCTGCGCCCGACCGGGGCAGAAGGTGGGAGTGTGGAGGCGTGTCTTCGGCGGATCTGCCTTTGGTGGATTCGCTCGAATCTGTTCGTCGTTCGTCTACGTTCATGTGTCTTCAGGTTGCATCCTTCCGACTTACACTACTCTTCAGCGGTGGTGGTTGTTGTTTTGATGCGCTTGTCCTATGGGGCCTTAGCACGATGACTTCCCAACTGCCTACTACAACAAGCTTTGCCCGGCTCCGGTGAGGGAGGGACGATGAGGTGGCGCGCCTTCAGCTTGCTTGAGTGTTTGTAGTTGTCGCTAGATGCTTTATGAATCTGAATGTAATTTTTATTATTTCTGGTGTTCATTGTACTGCCATGATTGAAGATAAATAGTTTGGACGTTTTACCGCCAAAAGAAAAAGATCATTCACAGCGAGTGATTATTGCGGTTTTACGTGTCCCTATTCCTTAATGTCTATTTAGTGCATTTTTCAAGCTTCAGCGAATGGCAACCAAGCGAAAGAAAAAACAAAAACAATACGATTTTCAATGTATTTTGTTTTTTACATATTATTTCTTTTTTGCGGGGGATTTTACATATTATTTCGTGTCGTGTTGTCATTTAATTGTATTATCTTGTTAACTACTTCAGCTTGGGACAAATTTTTTAGACAGAGGGAGTATAAGATACGAGATGCCCTTTTGAGTATGTTCTAGAAAAAGTGTAAGAGCATTCGAATAACATGTTTTTTTAAGCGAGACAAGATTAATGTATGTTTCTGTAAAAATAATAATTAACACAAAGGCTGTACAATCTGCTCCCTAAGAAATCGCAGTGCGTGGGCTCTAATGGGCTCGAATCGCCTTGGCACGGGCCCTGGAGGAAGAGCATTGGCCCATTAAGAAAAATCACTGTCTTTGCTAAAAACAAATCATTATTCTTTTTTTTTTTCACTCTCGTCAGTGGACAGAGTTAACCGGAGAGGAAAAAGGGAACACGAAACCACCGTGGCTGCAATGGCGTCGCCCGCTCCCGCGAAGCCCGTCGCTCTCCGGCGGCCGCCGGTCCCAATCCGCGGCGGGTTCTGCCCGGCGCGTCCGTCCATGGCTGCGGCGGCAGGCCGGTTCAGAGTCTCGGCCTCCGCTTCCGCGTCGGACGTGCCCGACTTCCTCTCCTCCGACTGGTCGGTACCCCCGTCCCGTACTACTAGCTTCGATTGCCCTGTCGTGTTTCGTTCCTGGCTCTGGATACACACGCATGCCAGACTCTATGTCGATTGGATTACCTGGTAGCAGACCGGGGGGATTTTGGGTAGCTTAGCCAGGCAGAGAATTTGGGCAGTGGGCATTTCTTGGGATTTGATGTCCCTGTCCTCTCATCTAGCATCTATAATGGGGTACTATATGCTTAGAATTTTAGCATGGAAGAAGGAGCACTGTTTCCATTAGGATATATGACTCGGGATCAGATCAAAATTAGAAGAAGAAAAACTGCCATTTTCTAGCCAGATTGTGTATTCAGAATTTCAGATGCATATCTTGACTCAGTTCTGTATGCCACTAGAAATCATCGACTTGTTATTCTTATCGACGATGACAAAAATCACCTCCGTCCCCGCAGTGGTAGTGTGCAGGCTTGACAAAGGCCATTAGAGGTCAGATTAAATGGACTGATATTTTCATGGTTTGATAAAGCCAAGTAGCCAACTATCAAGTCCTCATCCTTCATTTTTGTCACAACAAAGAGTACTCATTAGCTAGATGAATTTAACTGACACCAATGCCGCGATTTGGTGTTCTATCAAATGACGACATACCATATTAGCTATGCCAGAGCCCAGAGTTCATTTTCACCATTCAACTACTAAAACAGTCCTGCTTTTGTTGCCTTTTCTTTTCTGGGGCTGTAATGTTAAACTGAAACTCCAGTTGGCCGTTTGGGGCTTCACTGATTTATAAAGCCAGGAAGATGCCTTTCATCTAAAAAAGAGTAACAGCCTTAGCTGTAGATAGTACAGGCATGGGCGCAAGAGTGCCGGGCATCATGCCAGCTATTCAGTCAGTTGGATTTGCTTGAGTAGACATACCAAAACCATGACAGTTAGACCTGAGAAGCATGTTATGTACTGGTTCTGTGGGTCTGCGGAAGTAGGGAGGGATGTGGTTGAGAGGAGGAGGGCATCTGGGGTCCTTCTCTTGGTGTGGCACAGGGAAGCACAACTCTTCAATCCCCTTATGCTGAGGGCACACATTAAGTTGACCTCTTATCTCCTATAGGAAGCAAACTAAATCTTATCCCTAGCAAACCAAATCTTATCTAATCGAAGTCTATCCAGACATTTCCTCCATCTGGAATGTGTGTCAACTGCATGTTTTTAGTGTGACATTTTATTTTCTCTGTGTTGATCTACTGATCTGATTAAAAGCTATTTCTGCTACTTGGTTTTATGTATTCTCCACGTGCATTTTACTTCTGGCCCTACCTTCGAGAATTGCTTAATTAACTGAGAAGCAAAGTGTTGGCAGATTACATATTCACAAATTACAGTGAGAAGTTAACTAGCAGTTGTGATATGTGTAACTTTGCCTATGAAGTATTCTTGTAGGCAGGAAGCTAATCAAATATCCTGATATATAACAGTTAGGCTGGCATTGCACATGTTGTGTATTACCATATGGTATCTTTCTGAGTGAATTGCATAAAACCACCACATTTGGGGCTTCGTTTGCGAAAAACTACCTAGTTGCTAATTTTTTGCAAAAGTCACCGCGCATTCAGTAATCATTTTGCAAAATGCACTGATCAGGTGATTTCGCCCCTTTAATCACTTTCTGACACATGGGACCCGGCTGTAAGGAGCTGACTTGGCAAAATAATCATACCCAGACCCCTAGTAGATTTTAAAAAAAGCAATCAGCCCCCCTGGACCATGGCCGCTGCCTCGATCCCATCCGATCGAGAGAGCCCGAGGCCGACCCCCGGCCGCCTCTCCGACCGCATCGGCCAGCTCACGGGGCTCCGCCGCCTCAGCATCCACGACAACGCCATCGCCAGCGCCATCCCCGCCGCCCTCGGCTTCCTCCCCAACCTCCGCGGCCTCTACCTGTTCAACAACCACTTCTCCGGCGCCGTCCCGCCGGAGATCGGCCGCTGCGTCGCGCTGCAGTCCCTGGATGCCAGCAACAACCGCCTCACCGGCGTCCTCCCGGCCTCGCTCGCCAACTCCACCAAGCTTATCCGCCTCAACCTCAGCCGCAACTCCATCTCCGGCGAGATCCCGGCCGAGGTCGCGGCCTCACAATCCCTCCTCTTCCTCGACCTGTCCTACAACAGGCTCTCCGGCCGCATCCCTGACGCCTTCGCGGGCGGCTCCAAGGCGCCCTCGTCGGCCTCCTCCGACGAGCGGAAATTAGAAGCCATCACCGGGACCTACCAGCTCGTCTTCCTCGGCCTCGCGCACAACACGCTCGACGGGCCAGTGCCGGAGTCGCTCGCGGGGCTCACCAAGCTGCAGGACCTCAACCTCGTCGGACAACGGCTGGGGCTGGGAGCCGGAGGCCGCCGTGGCGGCGGACGAGTGGGGCGACGGGGTGAGGGGGAGGGGCTTGATTGCTTTTGTTTTTCTAGATCCAAGGGGGTGTTTGTAAATGTTTTGCCAAGTCAGCTTTCGACAATCCGGCCCCATTTGTCAGAAAGTGATTAAACGAGCTAAATCACCTGATCAGTGCATTTTGCAAAATGATTACTGAATTTGCGGTGACCTTTGCAAAAAATTAGCGACTAGGTAGTTTTCTGCAAACGAAGCCTCAAATGTGGTGGTTTTATGCAATTCACTCTATCTTTCTATTGCTTCCCTGTCTCATTCTCTCCATTCTACTTCAGGCTTGAAACACGCAAGAAGAAGCCTTTTGGCCCCAGGTTGAATGTAATTCCCTAACTGAAAGCAAACCTTCAAATACCATAATATTCAAGTTTAAGCTTAGCCATTTAGCATGGTGTTCCACTTTCAGTATAATGCAGAAGAAGCAGTGGAATACCAACTTGAGGCCTTGAAATACAATGACAAACCCCGCCCGGATTATGGGGTAGAGGTCATGTACCGGGTAATAGGCTAATAGCATGGGCATGAAAATTATTCATTTTCTCTGGCATTGTGCTGAACTGCTGATGAAAGCTATGTCAATCTAACAGTCCTGTTATCTCTAGTTTGCAGGCTTTGATCCATTTGAAAGGTCAACTTATTTTGGACGACAGTTTGATCTTGGGCAGGTAAGCTAGATTATTTCCCCCTTCTGACCTATATTGATGGTCAACAGTTGTCATCCCTACTAATTGCCGCTGATACTGTTTCAGTTCGAACGTTTCCGGCGGATATTTCACCATTCGACTTACAGAGTGCTGCTTGGCCACAAAGAAAGAGAGATATTAAGCAGACTATGGGTCGAAGAGGTTTTGCCCTTGTCATCCTTTTATTTGTTCAAATTGGCCGCTTAAATAAATTCACGAGTACCAGTCTCTTCTGTCCAACTTTTAACGAAGGTTATGCCCTCAATCTCATTGTGCTGACAGAACCAGTTTAAGCAGAGAGTCTGGGTCCGAGGAGCTCGCCCGGAGGAAGAGGAAATATTCCAGTTTACAATGGTTCAGGTACCTGTCACGGTCACCACATCTCCCTGTTTCCTACATTCCAGCTACCGGCCTATTTTGAACGGATTTCTGCTGTAGAGAGTTGGTGGCTCATGGGATGGTTACTGGCTAACCGAGAGCTTGACCAACAACGACGGGGACGCATTCTCAGGCGGGGTTGCTTATTGACAGGCATGTACATATAACACTCAGCTGCCATCATATTAATCGATGTACATCCGAAGTCCAGTTACCTATACCTAGGAAACTAGCAGCGTAACTATGAGCTGATGGTCCAGATATAGTCGTCGCTGCGACGCTATCCACGTATATGTCACGGCACACACAGAAAAGAACTTGTGGTAGAATTGGTCTGGTGTGTTCCCCGTTCTGCTATTCTCTAAAGCATGTCATCATGTCAACCATACCACCAGATCTAGCTACACAAGACAATCACTTTCGCCCACTCAAAAAAGAAAGACAATCGCTTTCAAAATAGAAAAGAGTCACACTTCTTGTAAAGTAATTTTTGCATGAAAATTGTTTGGCTCCATAGGTGGACAAAACACCCGGATTCTGGATATCTTGGAAAGGTTGCTGAGCCGAACGCACGGGCTCTGTCGGAAGGAACCAAGGTTCATCACCAAACCTCACCAGACACCAGCAACTCGCCTCAGCCTTTTCCACTCTTATATCATTCTGAGTTTCTGAGTTTGACCAATCAGAAGCACGTCTCATCGCCGATTTGCGCGAGCGCCTGACTTGCGAGTTCGTCCTCGATAATTCCTCCTTCGCTCTTGGTGACCGGTCAGTTCGCCTGTGCCGGTCGAGGTTGTCCGTTGTCTGGTTCCTTTCCGGTCAGCCTGTGTCGCGGCGAGACCTGCTGGTACTAAAAAACACAAGGAGGACATGGACCGCAAGGCTATCAGTCTGACATGCTACTCACCTGAAGGCTGAGAGGGCAGCAGGACGAAGCTTGCAGATGGTGCAGATGATCGTCGTCTGCCGTCGATGCCGATGCCACATATGGAGTAGCACATAATGAAACGAATCTCCGGTAGGTTTGGCTGGCGTGCTCCCATTCTGCAGAGGTTTCGTCGTGCCAACCATGCCGTCAAATGCATAGAAAACAGTCGTTGTCAAGACAAACAACAAGTGTATACTCCCTTTGTATGTAAATATGAGACCTTTTGGGGATTTCAATCAGTATAGACTACATACGAAGCAAAATGAGTGAATCTACACTTTAAAATGTGTCTATATACACCCGTATGTAGTATGTATTGAAATCTGCAAAAGGTCTTATATTTAGAAACAGAAGGAAGGAGTAGAAGAGAAGAGTTACGGCCGTAATGAGCTTGCAAAAGTTCACCCCTAATGAAAACTTTGTAAAAAGTTTCTCCGGTGTTCATCTAAAAAAAATGAAGGTCCTGCATTGTCAATCAATTTTGTAATGTATACTTGCGTGATTGAGTCAACCATACCGTCAAATGTATAGAAAAGAGTCGTTCAAGACAAAACAAGTGTAGAAAATAAGTGTTAAAGTCTAGGTTGTAAAGTACTCCCTCTCCCAAAATATAAGAACGTTTGTAACACTACACTGGTGTCAAAAACGTTCTTATATTGTGGGACGGAGGGAGTACTAATTTTGTATATAGTACTCCCTCCGTCCCAAAATTTTATATTGTGAAATTCTTGTCTTAGATTCGTATCTGATACATCCGTATTTAGACAAATCTAAGACAAAAATTCTGGGACGGAGGGAGTATATAATGTACTTCCGTGATTGAGTTGATGAAACACTCAAATTCTAGATATCGAGGTTGAATGCCGACGGGTCAGGAGCTACCTCATCTAACGTCGGAGCGTCGGCTACAACTCCTTGAGTAGATCCGAGCTAGGCGCGAAGCCCGGATCACTGCGGGGCTACCTCTAGTCGCGGTGGATTGGAGGAGGGACACGGAGCAAAAGGAGGAGCATGAGAAGGATGCTAAGCAGAAGAAGGAGCAGGAGGAGGACCGGTCACTGCTCGCTGACGCGCCCAGTCGCATTTGCTGTCCACGGCCGTAGATGCTCTTATCTAATCATCAGTCTGCATTGACCAAGCGGGCTCGTGCCGTTCCGTTTGCTGGCTGATCTGCGCGAGTTTGTCCTCGATGCTCCCTCTTTCCTTGTTGGCCACCGGTCAGCTCACGTCTTGGATAGATCGAGGTAGCCCGTCCGTTGACGGGTCAGGTCAGCGTGCATTGCGGCGAGACCTGCTGCTACTAAAAAACACCACCTCTGACATCTCACACTCACCTGAAAGCAGATAGGGCCGGCGGGGCGCGACAGCGACGATCAGTCAGCAACTGTAACTTGCCCGCGCGAGGAAAGCAACGTGCCATCCAACGGCGCCAAATATCGCTTCTTATCTCATCTCCAAATCATCCAGGTTTTTCACACGAGCCGCTGACGGCTGACCGGCCGGCGACCGGGTTCGGTCAGCCCAAGGGGTGGAAAACCTTGCGCGACCGGGGACAAGGGTGTGACGTGCGGCACAGCGAAGGCGGGAGGAAACCGCGCCCCCGAGAGTGGCGGCGAGACGCGCGCGCCTTCGTGCCGCTCCCCGACGCGCGACCAGCGGCAGCGGCACGGCACATCGCGTGACCAGCCTCGCCTCCCTAGCTAGCTAGGTGGTTTCTCTTTCCCGCCCCCCGGCCGCTGGCCGTTCGTGGTCACCATGCCGGCCGGTCACGCCGGGAGCGTGATCGAGCGCCCCCCGGCCCGCGGTTGCCTGTGACCGCCACGTACGTACGCACGCGCCGCGCCGTGCCGGGCCTCCGTTTCGTGCGTGCGTGCGTGGTGGCATCCCTTTGCGACCCGACCCGACCCAGCTGCGTTTCCTCGTGCCCGTCGCGGTCACGATCACGTTCACGTACGTACGTAACGCGTCCGGTGATCCGCTCATCTCCGAAACCTACTACTACTACTAGTGCTTGAGAAGCTCAGATGTTTAGCAGGTTGGTGGCCTAACCAATCAACTCCAACTCCTTCGTGTCGTGTCGTGCCTCTGCAGGTCTCTGGGGCTGCACCTCCGTCAGGACTGGATTGGCAGTCCGGCCCGGTCGTCCCATCCCATCTATATAAGCCCGCGGCTGCGTGGCCAGGGCGGCACACTCCAAACCCCAGCCCCACCCCCAGAGCGAAACCCGCGCCGAGCCCAGCGATCCATCGGGACAGCCCCCGCTCCCGGCGGCCTCTCCCCCCCCAGACGATCTTTGCGTTGCCACCATAGGCAACCTTTCCTCCTCCGGCCGCCGGGCCGCCGCCGCGATGGCCGACCCGGCGCCTCCCGCCCCGGCGCGCGGCGACTTCACGCGGTCGGTGAAGCTCAAGTACGTGAAGCTCGGGTACCACTACCTGATCACGCACGGCGCGTACCTGGCGGTGGCGCCGCTGCCGGGGCTCGTGGCGGCGCACCTCTCCACCTTCACGATGCACGACCTGGCCGACCTCTGGGCCGGCGTCCTCCACCACAGCCTCGGCTCCCTGCTCGCCTGCCTCGCCTTCCTCGTCGCCGCCTGCACCGCCTACCTCGTCACCCGCCCGCGCCCCGTCTACCTCGTCGACTTCGCCTGCTACAAGCCCGACGACGCGCGCAAGTGCAGCCGCGCCCGCTTCATGGACTGCACCGAGAAGCTCGGCACCTTCACCGACGACAACGTCGAGTTCCAGCGCCGGATCGTGGAGCGCTCCGGGTTGGGTGAGGAGACGTACCTCCCCGAGGCCGTGCTCAACCTCCCGCCCAACCCCTCCATGGCCAACGCGCGGAAGGAGGCCGAGCTGGTCATGTTCGGCGCGCTGGACGAGCTGTTCGCCAAGACGGGCGTGAAGGCCAAGGACATCGGCGTGCTCGTCGTCAACTGCAGCCTCTTCAACCCGACGCCCTCGCTCTCCGCCATGGTCGTCAACAAGTACAAGCTCCGGGGCAACATCGTGAGCTACAACCTGGGCGGCATGGGGTGCAGCGCGGGGCTCATCGCCGTCGACCTCGCCAAGGACCTGCTGCAGGCGCAGCCCGGCACGTACGCCGTGGTGATCAGCATGGAGAACATCACGCTCAACTGGTATTTCGGCAACGACCGCTCGATGCTGGTGTCCAACTGCCTGTTCCGCATGGGCGGCGCGGCGATCCTGCTGTCGAACCGGCGGTCGGCGCGGCGGCGGTCCAAGTACCAGCTGGTGCACACGGTGCGCACGCACAAGGGGGCGGACGACAAGGCGTTCCGGTGCGTGTACCAGCAGGAGGACGAGTCGGGCAAGCGTGGGGTGTCGCTGTCCAAGGGCCTGATGGGCATCGCCGGCGGCGCGCTCAAGGCCAACATCACCACGCTGGGGCCGCTGGTGCTGCCCCTGAGCGAGCAGCTGCTCTTCTTTGCGACGCTGGCGGCCAGGAGGCTGCTCAACGCCAAGGTGGAGCCCTACATCCCGGACTTCAAGCTGGCGTTCGAGCACTTCTGCATCCACGCCGGCGGGCGGGCGGTGCTGGACCAGATGGAGAGCAACCTGCAGCTGTCGGAGTGGCACATGGAGCCGTCGCGGATGACGCTGCACCGGTTCGGCAACACCTCCAGCAGCTCGCTCTGGTACGAGCTCGCCTACGCCGAGGCCAAGGGCCGGATCCGCAAGGGCGACCGCACCTGGCAGATCGCCTTCGGCTCCGGGTTCAAGTGCAACAGCGCCGTGTGGAGGGCGCTCCGGTCGGTCAACCCGGCCAACCCCGGGGACGTCGCCGGCAACCCCTGGGCCGACGAGATCCACCGCTTCCCCGTGCCCGTGCCAAACTTCTCAGCCATCGATCCTCCATCCACTTCCAGCGACACCACCCAGCAATAAGGATTTCTAGTGGTCACGTACGTACGTCTTTTGGTCTGTAGCTAGCAGTATACTGTATTAGCGAGCTGCTTGGTTGGGGTTGCATTGGTATTAAGTAGAGTCAGTCGAGCTAGGTTTGCTTAATTTAGTTGGGGTATTGTATTTGATCTGATTGATGAGATTACTAAGTCTTCCGTTGATCCTCTAGTTGTTCTTCTGTCATGTGCTTAATTTAGTGGCTGTGTTTACGAGCAAATCGCAAGTTATTCACGTCACGGCAGCAGGTAACTCTCTCAGAATACGATTTTTCACAATGTTCTCCGCGTGTCTGC